TAATATTTCAGTCGCCTAAAGATCAAAGTACGTTTTGGTTCCATTGAAATTGTTATTTAATTGATTCTACAAAATGTATTAGAATATGATCACGAGCAAAAGATTCGCCTTAGTTGCAAAATAATGTTATAGAATAATATGTTTATCACATTTCATATTCATGAATTGTAACTCATTTTGCAACAGTATTCTACTAATTAGTTTAATTATATACAAGTGCTAAGTTATTTGGTATGTAAGCTTAACAAATGTAGTAAAATAACAAGCAAAATAGTTCAAGAAATGTTTTGCATTTTGTTGGTTTTAACACATTTTTGGCACACTTTTTGTAGCGTTTTGTACCGAAGACTTGATTGATTATCATCACCAAATTACCCGAATTTTCGTCTTTTGAATTGAACAATAAAATAGTTTTTTCTATAAAGTGAAAACTGACACAGAAGTAAGTGTTCTGACCACGGCTAAAAAGAATATTTTCTATGTCCTTCTAAATATCACGAAAAATCAATGAAAATGTATCAACATGTTGCTGTTCTTTCGTAGTAACACATGACCACGTGACTGTAGTGACACGTGACTAGTAGTGACCGTGACTGTAGTGGCACTGTGACTGTTAGTGACCGTGTACTGTAGTGACACGTGACTGTAGTGGCAGCGTGACTGGTAGTGACAACGTGACTGTAGTGAACACGTGACTGTAGTGGCACGTGAACTGTAGTGACACGTGACTGTAGTGGCACGGACTTGTAGTGACCTGACTGTAGTGACACGTGACTGTAGTGGAACACGTGACTGTAGTGACACGTGACTGTAGTGACACGTGACTGTAGTGACGTGACTGTAGTAACTGACTGTAGTGACACGTGACTGTAATGACCTGATGTAGTGACACGTGACTGTAGTGAAACGTGACTGTAGTGCACACGTGACTGTTAGTGACACGTGATCTGTAGTGACAGCTGAACTGTAGTGACACGTGACTGTAGTGACACGTGACTGTAGTGACACGTGACTGTAGTGACAGCGTGAGACTGTAGTGACACGTGACTGTAGTTGGACAGCGTGACTGTAGTGACACGTGACTGTAGTGACACGTGACTGTAGTGACACGTGACTGTAGTGACACGTGACTGTAGTTGACAGCGTGACTGTAGTGACCCGTGACTGTAGTGGACACGTGCTGTAGTGACACGTGACTGTAAGTGACACGTGACTAGGAAACGTGAAACTAGTGACACGTGACAGTGACACGTGACTAGTGACACGGGCGCCTTTCCGGCGCACGATGACCATTTTCTTCTTTCGAACGAACGAAGGGGAGAGAAAGTGAAAAAGAGGTGCTGGAAGTGGCGCGCGTTGAGCAGTATTTGGCGAGAGTTAGCGTGGGTGACGGCAGGGAGACCGCGGTGGTGGTGCGGGCGGCAGCGCGAGTGCGAGTTCTGGTGACGGTAGGGGCGCCTGTTCTGGCGGCGACGGCTATACCGGAGGCGGGAAAGGCCACAATGGAGACGGGTACTGTGGCAAGGAACGCGAGGTTCTCCAGGTGGTGTGAGTAATGGTGATAGCCAATGAAACAGCTCTGTCGTAGGTTCTCAAGAAACCGCTTATCATTTTCTACGTGTCTGTTTCTATGATGTCTTCTCGAAATGGTGAAAAAA